GTGTGGGGCAAGCAGTGGCAGCACTAGTGGGGCTTGGGGCGCTATGGCCCCCTCCAAGCACTGGTGCCACTGCTAACCCTGCGCAGTCCGCGGCAGCTCTGACCTCCCACTTGTGGTCCCCATGCTGGGAAGAGACTCACACTCCCTGGACACCAGGACACGGACTGCTGCCCCATTAAGGCCTTGCCCCGTTGTCCTCCAGTGGCAGGCTTGGGGGGGGGGCATCCAGAAGACAGCCAGCAGGGTCCCTTAGGCGAGGAGGGAGCGGGGTTATTACCCCCTTCCTCCAGCATCTGGCGGAGGGCGCAGGAGTGGGCTTATTTTGCTACTCACCACACACAGGGAATGAGTAGCAGCAATGGTGGTTGGGGAAGGCAGACCCTGCTGTCGTCCCCTGGAGGCAATAAGGGTAGAGGGGGGAATAACCCTCCTCCCTGCCCACTCTGCCTCAGGGGGCAATGCCTGCTGGCATTTGGCTGTGCCCCAACCCTGCCACTGCAGCAATGGTGAGGGAGCACCCGGTGGACCCTGGCCCGGTTCTGTGCCAGTGGGGCAGGGAGGAGGGAATTAAACCCCCTCCAGTTCACTCCAAGCTACTGCCATGATTGGCCATGCCCCTGCCAGTGGAGCAGTGAGCAGGTAAATGCAGGTCTGCACTGGTGAGACAGGAGAGGGAGGGGACCTGCTCTGGCTAGGGAGCAGAGAGCAGGGGCAGGGGCAGGGCCAGTCCTGCTCTGCTGGAGCAGAGAGCACAGCCCAGCCCAGAAAGTATTCTGGGATCCTGGGAGACTCTGGTTTAACTTAAACTAGGAAGGGGTCTGGGACAGAAGTTGCATAAACCGATTTGAGCTCTATCAGTTAAGTCTGACATTACATTCAACCAGGTTAATCTCAAACCAGTTTTGGCCATTTTGAAACTGGTTTATATGCATTGAACTAACATTCTGTTACAGGTTTAAACCAGTTTCTGCTCACTTTAATCTGTTTATGTGTAACTTCTGCCGTAGCCAAAGTGGGAGGACTGGGGCTATGTAAAGTCCTAGCAATAGGAGAAGTCATGATCACATGCAATATAATGGTTGCAAACAAATCCTTACAGAATGAAGAGCCTGTAATTAATTATTTTGATTTTTTTTAATTACTATATTTAATAAATCACATTTTATTTAAAAAGTCATCCTTTTATATGAGTAAAAGAATGTACATATGCATTTAAGGATCTTGCCGGAGACTTAATAGGCTCCTTTTAATAGACTACTGTTTCATCTTTTTTGACCTTTTTGAGTCACAGTCACATTCTTTTAGCCAATTCTCTTTAAAGAAGACTTATCTAAATATATATTTCTTTAGTTCATTCTAGTCCCATTTCTTTCTGCAGGTTAATATATACTGCAGTTTCAACAAATCATTATCTTCATTTCTCACGCATTAGACTCAGGAGGGAGCATAATTTAGCTACAGCTAGTTTCTACCTCAATCGATCCCTTAATCCCAAGTATATAAAAATATACTTGAACTGAATATATATATTTTTATATAGGAACTTCAGTTGCATGAAGTCTTGTGGGCTTATGGTAGATATCTGTAAAAACAATGAATAACTTGGCACAATTAGAAGTCAGTAGATTCTATTCAGTCTAATCTCTGTTCGGTAGACCTGGCCTGGCAGAGGTGTTACATATTAGGTTCAAGATACAGCAGCAGAACACAGGAGAAGATTCTTAAGCAAGGACCTAAAATAGACCATTCACATGTTCACTTTCACAAGCAGCAAGTTTGCCAAAATTACGAAATGAAAGACATGAAACAACTGAATAATTTACAAGCACTGCAGTATTTTAAAGTGGGATTATATTTACAATGAACTGAACTTTTAAGAACCTCCTTAGGAAGATCTTAAAATGTTTTGCAGACACTAAGAAATTATAAGCAACACTCCTGTAGGAGGTATTACTTAATTTTCTAAGCAAGGCACATCAAAGTGACTCACCCAAAACTCCATTAGTTGTGGAGAGTTTCAATTTTTACTCCATTTGCTGCTGGCATCAAGAAAACAAAATGAAATGTAACTAAACTATACAGGATTAAATTCTCTAGTGACACATACTGGGGCTAAATTATTTGTTGGGAGTAAGTCAGAGGTAAATGTACACTAAGAAGTCCATTTTAGCATTCTGTGGTTGTATAAAATGAATGTAAATTACCATAAGTGGACAGAAGGAATGGGGGTAAGTACCTGACAATAGAGTCTAAGATATAAGCTTTACATCTGAGACTCACCTCCATTAGCTAAATCAGGGGTAGTCACAAGTGGCACCAGCCACCTATGTGTGGCATGTGTCAGATCACGGAGGGAGCAGGGAGCACAGTGGCAGTTCAGGCAGAGAGCAGAGGGCTGAGAGCAGAATGGAGAACTGTGGAGCAGGCAGGGGAAGGGTGTCATAATGGCACTTGGGGAAGATACAGGACTAATTTGTGGGATGCCTGCCAGAAGGGTTGACCCCAACTAAAATAAATTATCACTTTATTTCTGACCAGATTTGATCACCTCATAGCAATAGAGCGAGCTGGGATGGCTGCTGATGGCAATTACTACAATGCAAGGAAAATTAATATTAAACATCTGGTGGATCCCATAGATGAATTGTTTATAGCAGCACGTACAATACCTGGAGTCACAACAACAGGTGGGTGTGATGCTCCTACTAGGATCTAACACACAAGAAAAACAAAAATCAATCAAATTTGGCAACTTACAATCTTGAGGCTGATCTATTAAGTGTATCATAATGTTATCACTACATCCCCATCCCACCCCACCCCATGTATTCCAAGACTTATACTCAGGTATGTATACAGGTGCCCAGTCAAAGCAGAGCCTGTTATGCATGCTTAGTCTGTATGCACACACTTACACATCCACAATGCCTGGGTAAGCACAAAAATTACTCAGGTACATAGTTAGAAAACTACCATTTAGGTGCACAAATGGAAACAGAATTATGCCCAGGATGTATATGTATGTACACAGCCTGAGGTACATCAACTCTTTGCTGTCCTTAGTGTACACCATTAAATCACTGAATGAAAATATATAAAGCAAATATTACATGTTTGTGTTCTTTTTATGGTTGTTGAAATAATGTCAAAATTTAAAAAGACTCTTAGCTACACTTATGTAGTCCTTTTATATTGCAAGCTCTCTTTAGTAGCAAATACTGTATTTATTTGCATACCATGTGCCCCAAATAAGACGTACCTTGTTTTGGGAAGGCAGAATGAAAGGGAAGAAAGATTTTTCATTTTAACCAAACAGTTCAGAATCAGTTCTGTCATTTAAGATACACAGCCCAAATTTCAACTGCTAATTTTTTGGGGAAAGATGAGTATGGTATGTGAACAAATAAGGCGTGTCTACACTGCCCTGTGGGGTCTTCTCCTAACTAGGACCTACCATAATAGAAGTAGGGCTCTCCATGAAACTTTTTATCAAAACTGTTAGCATGAACAAAGATATTTAAGCATTACTGTTATTAGCATGGCTTTCTTCCCCCTACTGTAAATAGTATAAGCAGGGTAACCCTGAACAACATGTTGTAACCATATTCCTAAAATTATACCATAGGCCACCTCTATCCCTAAGAAGAACGTCTTAGAAAATTCCCATGCAGATAAACTATGCTAAGATCTTTACTACAAATACAGTATTTTCTCACATAGCACATGCCCCCATATAAGAAATCTACCTTGTTTTAGGGAAGGCAGAATGAAAAAACCAGAGAAACCAAACTCTTGTATGTTTGATGTTATTTTAAAGCCCTGATAAATGTGGTGAAATTTGTAGCTAGTCTCTGTCCAATTCCATGTAAATACATTTCCAGTAATGAAGCCACCATTATAGTTAGTATCCTATTGACTGTTTCAGCAAAGAATCCAAGGATTAAATGGATATGAATAGAGTTATACTTCTTCCATAAACCCCTTCAATAAAATACCTAAAAAATATGCTGCATTCAAACTGGTTAGATCTTTGACTTAAAAATCACGTTTACATCTTTGTGTCTGTTTTTATGTTTTAAGGTAGTTGGTGGAGGGACTTAGTTCCTCCTCAGTATGACATCAAACACATGGAGAATATTCAATAAAGTATCCTGATCCCTTGAGACTTTTACTTTAGAATTAAAGTACATTGCTGATTTGGGGAAGTTTATACTGCGCAAACTTCAGGCTCCATGACAGACAAACTGACACTATTTACCAGTACTGTTTAATTTTAAAAATTTCAGAGTTATTAGAATATCCTTTAAAACTTCAGTAAAGAAGAACCAAGAAACAATACTTTGTGAATAAAAAAAATAAATTAAGGAAGTAGTGATCCCAAGTCATTGTCTCCTATGCTGTATTTTGAAATTTCTCTGGAGAGGCATTTTAAAAGAGGAGGACTTAATACCCAACCTTTCTAATGTAATTAGCAGTATGGCAGTAATAATCCAGAAAGAAGGATTATCTAGGGTAGTGTTTTTTCTAAACAGGGTTCGCTTAGTAGTTAAATATTCCAGAACTCTGGATCAGCCATTGACTTCAGTGGATAATCTGAGAAGTATCTGAGAAGATCTCCTGTAAAGTTGGGTAAAAATTGCATATTGACAAAGTAACTGAGCATCTTTAGAGCAATACTCTATTTTATTCTTTCTGTTTGCCTTCTTCCCTCCTCTTGTTTGTCACACTAACCTCTTGTATCTGGTATTAAATTTGATCATAGCTGTTTAGTGAGGGGACAACATTTTTTTGCATATTTGTACAGTTCTTAGTGGAGTACCAATCTCAACTAATGATGAGGAGGAAAGATTTGAAAGCCTGATTTTTTCCATATTAAAGAGAAAATTGAAACTGTATTGATTAAACACAGAGTGTGAGAGTTGCTAGGAATATGTTATAGCACGTATGAGAGGTGTGATCTCTTGAATATGGCTGTAAAGAATAGAAAGGGATAAGAAAAGAACTCTTAGCATAACAGCATGTTCAGTTGCAAGGAACACTGTTTTGACAGATGGACAACCTGAGTGTGTTGGAGCATTGCTGCCTGTATTTACCTTGATATACTATGGTCAACATTTTCATTAAAAAACAAGATTCAAGTATATTGGTTTCAATTCACTATGTAAAATAATCCCTTAGCCTGGGAGTATGACTACAGCTAAATTATGAACAACATCCACAGCTTCTCTGAATACCAATGTCATAAAAGGGTATAAAGCAAATGTGGACCCTCAGGAGCAGATTTAGTCAAAGTGAGAATTATGTGAACAAGTAGGGGCACAGTAGGTGCAGCACAGATGTACTGAAATAGATCATTAAAAGATTATGTTCAGAAAAGATCATGCTGATCTTCTAAGAAAGTGGGGGCCAACCTTTTGGCAGGCATGCCACAAACTATCCCTGCAACCTCCATAAGTGCCATTTTGACCCCTTTCCCTTCTCCAGGGGTATCAAACTCATCTGGCCTCACAGACTGGACGAGTGGTATAAGGCTAGTCCAGGCACCGTTTTTTGGCTGGAGTGTCAAAAAAACCACAATAGCTACCTTGAAAGGTGCAAGAGTGCTGGCATATCAGAAAAACAAAACGAGGGCGGAGGAATACATAGCAGGACACACATAGCAGGAGCAGGAGCACATAGCAGGTTGAGGACATCGGTGGCTCTGGAATGGGGCTGTGGCCATGGGCAGCACAGGGCTGAGACCAGGGCCACCCGGCAGCACATGGCTGGGGCCATGGGCAGCATGGGGCTGAGGCCAGGGCCCACCAGCAGCATGGGGCTGGAGCTGTCTGCAACACTGGGATGGGGCCGGGGCCCATGCAGGTCCACGACCCTGGCTCCATCCCTACGCTGCTGATGGCCCCGGCCCAGCAGCAGCGCTGGGCTGGGCTGGGGCGGGCGGTGGCAGCATGTGGCTGGGCCCGCTGGCAGCACCAGGATAGGGCCGGGGCCCATGCAGGTCTGTGGGCCCAGGCCCCGGCCTCATCCCGGTACTGCCAATCGCCCCGGCCCGACCCGGGGCTGGCTGGGGCCCGTGGTGGTGCCAGCTGAGGCTGGGCCCGCTGGCAGCACATGGCAGGGTCGCGGGTCTGGTCCCCATCCCGGTGCTGCCAACGGCCCTGGTCTGGTGGAGGTACTGGGCGGGGACAGGCAGTAGCGGTGGTGCTGGCTGGGGCCGGGCCTGCTGGCAACACGTAGCTGGGGCTGTCTGCAGTGCCGGGATGGGGCCAGGGCCCATGTAGGTCCACAGCCCCAGCCCCAGCTCTATCCCAATGCTGCCAACAGCCCCGGTCCAGTGCTGGCATTGGGCTGGGGCCCGCAGTGGTGCTGGCTGGGGCCTGCCGGCAGCACATGGCCAGCAATGCGGGGCTGGGGCCATCAGAGTGCCACCAGCCACTGGCTCGGGGCTGGGGCTGGGGCTGGTGGTGGTGCCAGGCTAGGGTTGGGGCCGGGGGCTCTTACCTGGCTGGGGTCGGCAGCACGGGTCAGTGGCAGAACAAGGTTGTTCCTGAACAGCCACATGCTGCTCGATCTGGGCACAGGTCTTCCTGCCCCTTTGGGTGGGAAGCAGTCTGTGTGCCAATAGAAACCATGCTGCATGCCACCTTCAGCACATGTGCCATAGGTTGCCAACCCCTGGGCTAGTCCATAGGCTGGATGAATGGTGCATAGCCAGCCCCATATGCTGAATCAGGCCTACAGACACCCTCTTCCCAACCAGGTGAGGGTGGGGTGCCACATGCAGTGCAGCCTGGCTGGAGTGGGCACCAAGTGCAACACGTGTCCTGGGCCCTGTGCATGGGGCCAGTCCAGTGTGCACCATGTGGGTCAATTCCAGATCCAGGGGCAGCACTGGGGGCCAGATCATGCGACTGTAAGCCACCTCTACCGTACCTTATCTGTTGTTCAGCTTTCTACTTCCTGCACTCTGTTCCATAACCAAGCTGCTGCTCTGACTTCTACTTCCTACACTGTGGTTTCTGCCTGGCATAATGCTCTGTTTTCTGCTCCTTGCCCTATTTGCCATTGTGGTGCCTGTTCCTTCCCCAAAGCGTTGTGCACTGTACAGAGGCTACCCATGCCACCCCTGATTTAGTGCTGATGACGCTTCTGTATGATCCCTTTAGCAGCAGTTAATGAAATACTGAAAGGCCTGAATAAAAAACAGTCAAGCTTTTTGTTCTTTCTTTGTATTTTATGGCACAAAGGGCTGACATTTTAGACAAGTTTAGCTATCATGGCTTCAAGGATTAAGACAGACAGTGAAAGCTCATTTAGAAAATCTAGAGGACAACCACATATCTGCTTCCCCAGCACTACTTCCTGAAGGCTGGGCTTATAAGTGTCACAACCCAAGGGTGTGATTTTTGTTTGTGTGCGCTTCGGCACTGCTGAATTATTTCCCGCCACTCGTAGCTTTCTTTGCAGGGTGCATTTCTTCGTTGCAACAGAGAAATGCACATTGCAAGGAGTTCCCGCCATTTGTATTCAAATTTGTGCCCCACTATTGGCCAGTTCTAAATTATTCCTACGTGGCGGCTAGCGATTGGCCTGCTAGCCGTATAAGAGGCTTGAGTGGTTTCCGCCCAAGTTGGAGGACTCCACGACTATCAGGAGGAGGAGAACTTCACGTCTCATGAAGATCTCT